GCAAGGGCACCATCAATTTCAAACAAAAACAATGAAATATATAGTCTCTGCAACATCTGGACCATGTGCAGGTACCCCGCGATCCTTGCCCACTTGTTTTTGGCACAGACGGTGGGGGTGCTGGCAGACTGCCTGCTGTGTGCAGGCCCGCCAAACACAATGATGGTCTCCCCGCCGCGATTGCGCCTTGGCTTTCGACTGCAATTATGGGGGCCGACATGTTCCCCGATGTGTGCTGTCACGTGCGCGGGCACCACTGGCACACTCTGCGCGTGTCCCGAACCCTTGGCACGGCTGGACCATGCGGCACACATGGCGCACGTGTGAAGCACGTGGCGCGTCTGGCGCGCCCGGAACGCTTGGGCCCCAGGCATGCCGCGCGCGTGGGGCGCCCTGCACGCGCGGCGTAATCCGCCACAGCGTCGCGCGCCTGAGGTCCGGTTTGGCTTCCAGTAGCTGCACATCCACAGATGGCCGCTGAACATGCTGAGATTCGAATGGCACGTACACCCTGCGAAATGCTTAAGAAATCATGGGTTAAGAAATTCATAGTCTCAGAACTTGAATAAAAACCCAAAATTCCCATTCGAATCTTAGGATTTACATTGAGACATTAAGAATAATCGAGACCCTGGCCGAAAATTTAAGTTTTCTTAAACATCGCCTAAGGTGTATGTCTTGGGAGGGCAGGCGGGAGTGAGCGAGAAAGCTTGCGGGCAGGGTGTGTGTCTCGACCCGTCCCCATACCCCCTCCCCCCGGGTCTGGAGGGGGGGTGACCGCGACCGGTCGGAGCGTCCAAGACGGCCTCGACGAGGAGGCATACATCGTTTCTGTCCCAACCATCCTGTGGTGTTGGGTCCTCTCTTCGAAGGGGCAGCGCCCCGCGCCCACTCACTCCTGCTTGACTCACTTCTCCTCCCTCTCCTCCCTCCTCCCACATCTGCAGCTGCTCCCCGCATGTTCACTATTTTGGCACATCCCTCACACGCTTCGTGGCCCCATAGAGAGCTCCACCGAAGGCCACAGCGGCAGGGTACGCATGCGTCCACCAGCCGATATTGGCACACCCCTCGCGAGGACCGTGGCCCCACAGGGAGCTCCACCGAAGACCCCAACAGAAGGGTTCGCATGCGTCCCCCCGCCCATATTGGCACACTAGTCACGAGGACCGTGGCCCCACAGGGAGCTCCACAGACAGCCCCAACAGAAGGGTTCGCATGCGTCCCCCCGCCCATATCGGCACACCCCTCACGAGGACCGTGGCCCATAGGGAGCTTCACAGAATGCCCCAGCGGCAGGGTCCGCAGGCGCCCCCCCCGCCCTTTTCGGTAAACTCCTCACGAGGGTCGTGGCCCCATAGGGAGCTTCACCGAAGGCCCCAGTGGCAGGGTCCGCATGCGCTCCCCCCTCCCCCACCCCGCCCTTTTCGGTACACTTTTCACGAGGGTCGTGGCCCCACAGGGAGCTCCACAGAAGGCGCCAGTGGCAGGGTCCGCATGCGTCCCCCGCCCATTTCGGCACACCCCTCACGAGGGTCGTGGCCCCACAGGGAGCTCCCCAGAAGGCCCCAGTGGCAGGGTCCGCATGCGTCCCCCGCTCATTTCGGCATACCCCACACGAGGGTCGTGGCCCCATAGGGAGCCCCACCGAAAGCGGAACCTACCACGCGGTATTCGCAACTGCATATGGTGGGGCCATTTACCAGGATAATTTGTTCGGGTTTGAGGCCCCCGGGGGGGGAGAGAGCTGATATTCCCCCCCCCGCCCCTCCTCTTTGATCGAACTCCTCCAAGATAGCCCTAAGATGGCCCCCAATGCTCCCAAGCGTGCCCCAACAGGGCCCCAAAGGGTGCCCAGGAAGCCCCAAGGGGCCCCCAAGATATCCCCAAGAGGCACCCGAGAGACCCCCAAGAGAACCCAAGAGGCTCCCCCGATGCGCCCAAGAAGCTTCAAGAGGCCCCCAGGACCGCCAAGAGGCCCCCAGGACGCCCCAAGAGGCTTACAAGAAGCTAGCAAGAGACATCAAAAGAGACGCCCCACAAGGCCTATGGTCTTTCTGCTCGCCCTCCTCCTCCTCCTCCTCCTCCTCTTCTTCTTCTTAGCCATATTATTATCATGATTATTCCTCAACCGCCTGATCCTCTTTTTCCCTCCTTCCTCCTCCCCTCCCTTTTTCACCTCCTCTTCCCTTCCCCCTCCTCCCCTCCTCCTCCTCCTCCTCCTCCTCCTCCTCCTCCTCTGCCTCCTCCTCCTCCTCCTCCTCCTCCTCCTCCTCCTCCATCCTCATTCTCATCCTCATCCTCCCAGGTCATGATGGCTTCCAAGCTTTCATTCCACTGTACGCTCCTCCATCCCTGATCAGGGCAACTCGCCTGGGCATCGTTTCTGGATGGGCTGGTGAGGTTAGGCGAAGCGAGTAGAATTAGCCACATGTTCCAGAGGAGGTCGGTATTGGCTTGGGGGGGACTCTCCTGGCGTCCAATGCATAAAAGAAGAAAAACCGGCATACACATAACCTGTTGGCGCTCCGCGCGGATTTCTTGGATCTGCGCTGGACCCCCCTCCCTGGCGCGCGGAGCGCGCTAGAGGCGGCGCCGGAGGCGCCGCGGGGGGGCCCAGCGCGGATCCAAGAAATCCGCGCGGAGCGCTTAAAGTTTATGTTGATGCCGCTTTTCCTCCTTCGAATGCAGACCTCCCACAAATGGCTCCTCCTCCTTTTCTGGAAGGTCAACACTGGCCTCGGGGGCCTTCCCCAGGCGGCCAATGCGGACCTCCCGCAAATGGAGCCGTTTGCGGGACGTCCGCATTGGCCGCCCGGGGAGGCTCACCGACGCCACACGAAGCCCACACGGGGAAGGCTCCACCAACGGGACCACCGAGGCCAATGCGGATCTCCCGCAGCTGGCCGCTGGGCGAGGCCGCCCGGTGCAGGTGCGGACCTCCCAGAGAGGAAGCCCACACAGGGGAGCCTCCAGAGGCGAATTGAAACCAACTGCGGGAAGTCATCCCAAAGAAGAAGAAGAAGAAGAAGAAGAATTGGGAGTGCCCTGGAGGCCAATGCTGACCTCGCCCAGATAGAGCCGTACGGGATGTCCGCATTGGCCGCCAGGGGCGGCCCGATGCCAATGTCGGGGGCGCGCAAACATGGATTAGCGATCCATGGACTTGGCGCGCAGTCGCCAGCTCCATGGTCCATGGATCGGGGGAGGTGCCCTCCCCAAACTGCGGCCGGTGCCGCCTCGTTCGGCGGAGAACATCCGCGATTTCCCATGGAAGCGGGACCCGTCGCCAATCCACGCCCCCTTGATCCATGTTTGCGATCGCCTGACTTTGGCAGTCTTGAGCCTGCGGCGGCGGTGGATGCGGCAGCTGCGGATGACTCTGCCGAGCACCTTTGGAAGAAAACGACATACGCAGGCACGAGCGAGTCTGAGCCGATCGCAGTGTCGTCGATCGCTCCTCCCTCCTCCTCCTCCTCCTCCTCCTCCTCCTCCTCCTCCTCCTCCTCCTCCTCCGCCCTACTCCTCCTCGCTCCTCCTCCTCCTCCTCCTCCTACTCCTCCCTCCTCCTCCCTCCTCTCCTCCTCCTCCTCCTCCTCCTCCTCCTCCTCCTCCTCCTCCTCCTCCCTCCTCCTCCTCCCTCCTCCCTCCCTCCTCCTCCCTCCTCCTCCTCCTCCTCCTCCTCCTCCTCCTCCTCCTCCTCCTCCTCCTCCTCCTCCTCCTCCTCCTCCTCCTCCTCCTCCTACTCGGGGAGGTTCGACGGAGGAGGGGAGCCCCGAGGCCAATGCTGAACGCCTCCCCCAAACCCCCAATCGGGGCAATGTGCAGGAAGTCGCATTGGCCGCCAGGGGAGGCCGTCCGAGGCGATGCTGACCCGCAAATGGAGCTCACCCAGGGAAGCCAGTTGCGGAAGGTCCGCCAGGGGCGGGCCACCCCGATGCAAACGTTGACCTCACACCAATCAATGAAGCTACTTGCGGGAGGTCCGCAGTGGCCGCCACGGGAGCCCCCCCCCGCCTCCCCCGATGTCAACGCTGTCATCCTACAAGCTGCTCCACTCGGGGATGCCAATATTGGCCCGTTCCCCTGGCGGGCCTCCCGCAAATGGCTCCAATTCGCCTCCTGAGGCATTCCTGGGTGTTCTCCTTCCGTGGGAGGTCCGCATTGGTCTCGGGGGGCATCCCCTGACGGCCAATGCGGACCTCCCGTAATTGGCGCCATCTGGCCTCGGGTGCATCGCAGGGCGACCAATGCCTACCCCCCGCAAGTGGCTCAACTTAGCCTCTGGGTGCTTCCCTAGATGGGCTCCATTTGCTGGTAGTCAGCATCGGCCTCAGGTGGGCTTCCCTCTGCGGACTGCTCCAGCTAGCCTCTGGAGGCCTCCCTGAGTGGGCTCCATTTGCGGGAGGTCCGCATCGGGGTGCCTCCCTTGACGGCCAAGGCGGGCCTCCCGCAAATGGCGGACCCCCCGTAATCAGCGACCTCCCTGCAAAAAACGTTCCACCTGCGGGAGATCAGCATTGGCCTCGGGGAGCCTCCTCTGACGGCCCATGCTGACCTCCCGCTAGTGGCGGACTCATCGCAATTACCTTCAATTCGCATCCGGAAGATTCCCTGGGTGGGCCCCACTTGCGGGAATTCGGCATTGGCCTCGGGGGGCCTCCCGCGGCGGCCGATGCGGACCTCCCGCAAATTGCTACATTTGCGGGGGGGGGGGGGCAGCATTCGCCTCGAGAAGGAGGAGGAGGAAGAGGAGGAGGAGGAGGAGGAGGAGGAGGAGGAGGAGGAGGAGGAGGAGGAGAAGGAGGAGGAGGAGGAGGAGGAGGAGGAGGAGGAGGGGGAGGCCTTCTCGTGGTGGTATATTGCAATTAGCTCCAACTCGCCTCGGGGGCCTTCCCTGTGTGGGTCACCCTTGCCGGAGGTCAGCATTGGCCTCGGGGTGCCCCCCTGGCGGCCAGTGCGCACCTCCCGGAGGTTGCCCCAAGTAGCGGCTTAGCATCTACATGCTGCCCTGAGTGGGCTCCAGTTGCGGCAGATCCGCGTTGGCCTCGGGCTGCCGGCCGCCTCTCAGGAGCCGCGAATGCGGATATCCTTCAATCGGCGGAGTTGCAGGAAGTCCTGTCCGGCCGGACAAGAGCGCGTTTTTTATGTTCGGCGATACTGGGCATTATAGGAGGGGGGAAGGGGGCCTGGGGGGGTATCATGTAACGCTTCCTCCCCGCCGTGTGCCCGATGCGCACGGCGGCAGTGCCCGGAGCGCACTGGGGGGGGAGGGGCGTTACGTTATAGGGGCGGGGGAGGGGGGGCCGGGGGGTATAATGCCCAATATGCCCCAAGCAATCAAGAAACACGCTCCAACCAGAGGGGGAGGGGGAGCGTTGCGGCGCCAGGGGCCAGGGGGGTATCAGTCACAGCGGTGGTGCGAGGTATGGACCGAGCCTCGGGAGAGCGTGACAGGCCACGGGAGCGTCGCCACAGTGGCTGGCACACGCAAGGATGCAGCGGAAGGGGTAACTGTATTTCTCGTAATAGTGGTTGGCACATGCACCTGCGCGTGGCAGCACAGAGCGGGCGTGCCGTCGGCGCACTCTGATGCCAACAGAACTGGGGACAAGTGGAGAGAGAGAGAGAAAGAGAAAATTATGCTAACGGAGTTCCCCACATATAGATGTTACGGGGTTAGCGTGATCACGAGGGCATACAAGCAATATCAAACATGAAAGCCAATCATGTGTAGATATGTTTACGGAAAGGCCGACGAAGGCGAGGAGGGGAAACAGCACGGAAGGATGATGGATGTGTAGGACGCGGTCCACAGAAGTCGAGCTGAGAACTGCCATCGTGCCTCATAGGAGGAAGTCCTTCCCTGGAGGACGGACGGGCCTCCCGTGAGCCGTCCGCGGAGCTCACATGGCTCAAGATACCCCCCAGGAGGGAAAGGCATTAGAAGCAATATGGTTATCACAGTGCTCAGCATCATCCTCCTCCTCCTCCTCCTCCTCGTCCTCCTCCTCGTCCTCCCTCCTCCTTTTCCTTATCCTCGTCCTCGTTTTCCTCCTCCTCGTCCTCTTCGTTCTCCTCCTCCTCCTCTTCCTCGTTTTCCTCCTCTTTCTCCTGTTTGTCTTCCTCCTCCTTCCCCATCTCCTCCTGCTCCTCCTCCATTTTCTGTGCGAATACCCTGTTCACTCAGGTGGGGCCTCCCTGGAGGGGTGGGAGGAGCACGGAACCTGATAAATAACATGGTGTGCGAATGCCCTGCTCGCTCAGGCGGGGCCTCCCTGGAGGGGTGGGAGGGGCACGAAACCTGATAAATAACATGGTGTGCGAATACCCTGCTCGCTCAGGCGGGGCCTCCCTGGAGGGGTGGGAGGGGCACGAAACCTGATAAATAACATGGTGTGCGAATGCCCTGCTCGCTCAGGCGGGCCTCCCTGGAGGGGTGGGAGGGGCACGAAACCTGATGAATAACCATGGTGTGCGAATACCCTGCTCGCTCAGGCGGGACCTCCCTGGAGGGGGGGAAGGCCACGAAACCTGATAAATAACATGTTGTGCGAATCCCCTTCTCGCTCAGGCGGGGCCTCCCTGGAGGGGTGGGAGGGGCACGAAACCTGATAAATAACATGGTGTGCGAATACCCTGCTCGCTCAGGCGGGGCCTCCCTGGAGGGGTGGGAGGGGCACGAAACCTGATAAATAACATGGTGTGCGAATACCCTGCTCGCTCAGGCGGGGCCTCCCTGGAGGGGTGGGAGGGGCACGAAACCTGATAAATAACATGGTGTGCGAATACCCTGCTCGCTCAGGCGGGGCCTCCCTGGAGGGGTGGGAGGGGCACGAAACCTGATAAATAACATGGTGTGCGAATACCCTGCTCGCTCAGGCGGGGCCTCCCTGGAGGGGTGGGAGGGCACGAAACCTGATAAATAACATGGTGTGCGAATACCCTGCTCACTCAGGCGGGCCTCCCTGGAGGGGTGGGAGGGGCACGAAACCTGATGGCGAATACCCTGCTCGCTCAGGCGGGGCCTCCCTGGAGGGTGGGAGGGGCACGAAACCTGATAAATAACATGGTGTGCGAATACCCTGCTCGCTCAGGCGGGGCCTCCCTGGAGGGGTGGGAGGGGCACGAAACCTGATAAATAACATGGTGTGCGAATACCCTGCTCGCTCAGGCCGGGCCTCCCTGGAGGGGTGGGAGGGGCACGAAACCTGATAAATAACATGGTGTGCGAATACCCTGCTCGCTCAGGCCAGGCCTCCCTGGAGGGGTGGGAGGGGCACGACACCTGATAAATAACATGGTGTGCGAATACCCTGCTCGCTCAGGCGGGGCCTCCCTGGAGGGGTGGGAGGGGTACGAAACCTGATAAATAACATGGTGTGCGAATACCCTGCTCGCTCAGGCGGGGCCTCCCTGGAGGGGTGGGAGGGGCACGGAACCTGATAAATAACATGGTGTGCGGATACCCTGCTCGCTCAGGCGGGGCCTCCCTGGAGGGGTGGGAAGGCCACGAAACCTGATAAATAACATGGTGTGATGGTATGGTCTGGTATGGTGGTATGGTGTGGATTGGTATTAGTTGGTGGTGTGCATGGTGTGGTAAGGATTGGTATGGTTGGTGTGACGTGGTATAGCATGGCATGGTATGGTATGATATGGCATTGTACTGTATGGTATGGCATGGCATGGTATGACATGGCATTGTATGGTATGGCATGGTATGATACGGCGTTGCATGGTATGGTATGGTAAGGTATGGTGTGGAGAGGCATGGTATGGTATGGGATGGTGGATGCATGGTATGGTATGGTAAGGTATGGTATGGAGTGGCATGGTATTGGTATGGTATGATGGAGTGGCATGGTATTGGTATGGTATGATACGGTATGGGGTGGTGGAGGAAGCGGGAGGAAGAGGAGGAGGAGGAGGAGAGGATGTTCTGGGAAAACAAGAACCCCACTCAGGATGTGGGGAAAGAGAGAGAGAGAGATAGAGAGAGAGAGAGAGAACAAAAAAAAAGATCAAACAAACACCAAACATTAGCCTGGCGAAGAACCCAACCAGATGCAATTGTGAGTACAGCCGTTGTGGGTATCGTCTTCGGTGTCATCTACGATGAGCCACGAAATGCTACATTGGGCGGGGGGGGCGCATGCGAACTTTGCCACTGGGGCCTTCGGTGGAGCTCCCTATGGGGTCACGAGACGTGTGAGGGGTGTGCCGAAATGGGGCGGCGGTGCCATGCGGACCCTCCCGCTGGGGCCTTCGGTGGAGCTTCTTCCTATGGGGCCACGAAACGTGTGAGGGGTGTGCCGAAATGGGGCGGCGGTGCCATACGGTCCCTCCCGCTGGGGCCGGAGGAGGAAGGAGGAAGGAACGCGGGGCACCGTCTCTTCAAAACGAGGACCCAACACCACAGGATGGCTGGGACGAATGGCAAGGCGTGCCCAGTGACAGTGACAGAGGGGGAGGGAGGGACATTGACAGCGCATGCGTGTACAGTACATATAGACTTCTGTTTATATAGACGGAGGGAGGCAGAGCGAAATATAACGAGAGAGATAGAGAGAGGAATCAAACATAGAACATGAGCGACGGTGGCAGGTCTCCACTGTTTGGTCGCATTTGCATCTTGACAGGGTGAGTTTCCGAAGGAGTTGGACAGATATTCAGATCGAGCTCAGGAAACAGGCGCAGACAATGACCAGAGCCTCGCAAGCATAATAGTGAACGCACATGGAGGAGCAACAATCTGGGGCCAAGGAGATTAACGCATCACCTGACAAAGAGACCTCACATCGTACATGCGCGCAGGCCCTCCGCGGAGCGTGGGCATACTAACGTGTGCCACGCCTGCTTCAGCACGGCGCAGCTAAGCTCCTACTCCTACCCTGCACCCTGCCTCAGATGTGTTTCTTCGCTTCTTTCGGTGGCACGTTCTCGTCACCGCACTTGGTCTCACTGACTTGCTTGGGCTCCTGGCCTTGCGAACTTGCCGCGCCTGCCTTCACGTCTGTCGGAAGGCTTCCCGCACCCTTCTGGTCAGTTGCGCCACCATCATCTTCGAGAAAACACCAAAGGACATAAGATGCCATGACCAAATTCACCAACAGAACTGCAAGGGCACCGCTGTACGTCAACCGCGTAGCATCATCGGGAACTAGCCCACGAAGCAGGCGCTCGCAAGCGAGAAGTCCCACGACAGGAACCACTGCCAGCGCAGCCATGAAACCTGCTAGCAGCCGTGCCACACGGCGGTTATGCGCCTGTGGGCTAATCGTAAATCGATGTTACTACCCAACACCCACCCAATCGGAACAGGAACAAACTCCAGAAACTCGTGTCCCCAGGAGGCGTACGGGGCGTGCTGCAATGAATAAGGCGACATAGCGACATAGCGGACAATCATACGTTAGTCCGCATGGGCCCCAAACGATGTGTGTTCGAACTATCTATGTTACGCACCTTTTTGTGCAATGGATGTGGTGCAATATATGTTGTGCGCGCTGTGTTGTGGAACCTGTTGTGTGCAATGTATGATGTGCAATGTGTGGTGTGCACTCTGCTGTGTGAAACCGATGCGGTGCAATATATTGTGTGCAACTTGCTGTGTGCAACCTATGTTGAACAATTCACTTGCCGAATTTGAAATTGTCATCTCCACTGCTCGCGCAATCATCCCACCCACACGCCCACAACTTGGTTTTCAAAACCCATGCGGGAGCGACTGCGATGAGTGCTTGGCGTTGACTGGTGCTTCTCTGCGGCCGCGCTAGCCCGCGCATGCTCGCGCGCAGAGGCCAGGTAGTTTGGCGCGACCGACGCGAACCCGGTGGCGCTAACCGCTCGGCACATCCCAGCGGGCACTTCACTGAAAGTCGGCGACTTGGGCGGGCGCGGTATCATGGCAACGTCGACATCGGTAGACACGATGATGCTAGTAGCGACGCTGGTTAAGATCATGACAGCGACGACGAGGCAAACGGCGCCGATGCTGATCAGGCCGGCGACGATGACGGCGTCTTCGCGTCGGTGATGAAGGTTTGGGAAGAAACTCGAAATGCGCGCGCGGCAGACGCGCGAGAGTGGCCCGCATGCTATTATTTGACACGGATCGTGCCACCCCAGCACGCGCGCAGGGGCGTTCGAACGATTTCGACATGCGCGCGCGAAGCCCGCTTTGTAGCATGTTATGAACATGTTTAAAAGTTATGGATCTCTTAAGAATTCGCAAGATCTCGCGCACGCTTTTGTTGAAAATCCGTGTTGCGAAAGCCTATGATTTTGTATGTTTTTGGAACATTCGATTTTGACATCCTTCCGAAACCGAACGTGTTCGAAGGAATTCGGCATGCGCGCGACGACGCGCGCTTGTGCAGTTCGTCTTCTTTTTGCAAGGGATTCTTGGAGACTTATGACTTTGGATAAACGAGTGCGCGCGCGTAGTGCTGATTCCAAGGGAACCGGGCGGGGGCCGATGCCGGCCTGTCTGGGATAGTATGAATTCGCGGGTAAGACGGACATTGGGTCGGAATCATATGTGTGTTTGCATAGGTATATGAGGAATCGATGAGTCCGGGGGGGAGGGTGGTAGAACCGATCTCCTTTTTACACAGGAAAATCGATATGGTGCAATCCACGATGCGCAATACATCTTGTGCACCCCGAGTGGTGCAGTGCACGTGGTGCGATATGTGTATCAATATATGGTCCACAATACGCATTGCAGTATATATGGTGCCATCTACGTGGTGCAATTAATTTCTGTTCGCAGTGAATTGTCCACTCCACTGCTCGCGCAAACATCCCACCCACCCACCCGCAACTTGGTTTGCAAAATCTCTTAAGACCGTGACGGTGGGTACCACATGGCACTTGGCAACAACAGCGACGCCGACGACGACAGCGACAACGACGATGACGACGCCGCCGACAACGACTACGACGACACCGACGACGTCTCCAACGACTTCGACGACGCCGACAACGACGACGACGACGACACCGACGACGACGACGACGACGCCGACGATGACGACGACGACGACGATGACGACGCCGACGACGACGATAACGACGACACCGACGACGACGACGTCAACGACGCCGACGACGACGACGACGACGACGGCGGCGACGACGACGCCGACGTCGACGACGACGAAGACGACAACGACGCCGACGCCGACGCCGACGACGAAGACGACGACGACGTCGCCAACAAAGACAACGAGGAAGGAGGGAGGACGACGACGGCGACAACGACGACAACGACGAGGGAGGAGGGAGGACGGCGACGACGCGAACGACGAAGAAGGAGGAAGGACAACGACGCCGACGACGGCGACGACGAGGGAGGAGGGAAGACGACGACGACGACAACGACGACGACGACGACGACGCGGCGACGAAATAGGAGGGACGACGACGAGACGCCGACGACGGACGACGACGACGACGAGGGAGGAGGAGGAAGGACGACCACGGCGACAACGACGACGGAAACGACCACGACGCCAAAGAGGACGACGACGACGAACACGAGGAAAAACAGAGGACGACGTAGGCGACGACGACGACGCCGACGTCGACGACGACGAAGACGACAACGACGCCGACGCCGACGACGACGAAGACGACGTCGCCAACGAAGACAACGAGGAAGGAGGGAGGACGACGACGGCGACAACGACGACAACGACGAGGGAGGAGGGAGGACGGCGACGACGCGAACGACGAAAAAGGAGGAAGGACGGCGACGCCGACGACGGCAACGACGAGGGAGGAGGGAAGACGACGACGACGACGACGACGACGACGACAACGACGACGACGGCGACGAAATAGGAGGGACGACGACGAGACGCCGACGACGGACGACGACGACGACGACGACGACGACGACGACGACGAGGGAGGGGGAGGAAGGACGACCACGGCGACAACGACGACGGAAACGACCACGACGCCAAAGAGGACGACGACGACGAACACGAGGAAGGACAGAGGACGACGTAGGCGACGACGACGACGACAACGACGCGGGAGGAGGGAGGACGGCGACGACGACGACGACAACGACGCAAGAGCGCGCGCACACTTTTGTTGAAAATCCGTGTTGCGAAACCTTGTTTTTTTGTAGGTCTTTTGGACACACGATTTTGAAATCCTTCCGAAACCGATGGGTTTTGAAGGTTTTCGGCGTACGCGCGCGACGACGCGCGCGTCTGCACTTCGTCTTATTTTTGCAAGGGGTTCTCGTGACGGCACACGCGCAAGGGCGTTCGACAGATTTCGACATGAGCGCGCGCGAAGCCCGTTTGGTAGCATTTTGTGAAAATCTTGAAAAACTGTTGGTGTTCTTGAGATTTCGCAAGAGCTTTCGCGGAAGTTTGTTTAGCAACTCTGTGTTGCGAAACCCTGTGTTTTTGTATATATTTTTGGGGGGGAAACTCGATTGCGAAATCCCTCCCGCACCGAAGGTTTATGATGATTTCGGCATGCACGCGCGACGACACGCACGTGCGCACTTCGTCTCATTTTTTACAAGGGACTCGCGAAAAAAGATGTTGTGTTAGAACAAACAATGTCACCGCATAGTGTTTTTTATACCAGGGTCCCTCAGGGGGGGGAACCGGCCTGGCTGGATGATACGATTTCATATTTAAGATGGACGAGTGTGCAGAATATATATATATGTATGTATGTATGTATGTATGTACGTATTGAATTATACTATCCCAGGGGGAAGCGTTAAGTCCGGGGGGGGGGGGTAGAGTCTATTATTCTCTTTTTAGGAAGCTGCCGAACTCGAAAATGCCAACTCCACTGCTCGCGCAAACACCCCAACCGCCCACCCGTAACCTGGTTTGCAAAACCCATGTGGCGGCGATTACGATGAATGCTTGGCGTTGGCTGGTGCATCTCTGTGGCCGCGCTGGCCCGCGCGTGCTCGCGCGCGCAGCGACCAGCTAGTGCGGCGCGACCGACGCGGCCGCGGTGGCGCTGACCGCTGGGAACATCCAGAGGGCCCGTCAGTGCGAGTCGGCGACGTGGGCGGGCGCGGTAATGCCGACAACGGTAGACGCGATGATGCTAGTAGCGATGGTGGCGTCGATGGTGGCGACGACGACGGAAAGGCCAATGACGGCGCCGACGTTGATCACGCCCGCCAGTATAGATGACGATGTCCTCGCGCTGGCGACGAAAGCTGCGGGGGGAGTTCGACGCACGCGCGCGGCCGACGCGCGCGAGCGACCCGCGCGGCATTACTTGACGCGGATCGCGCCCCCCAGCGCGCGAACAAGGGCGTTCGGATGAATTCGGCACGCGGCGCGAGAGGCCCGTTTGGCAGAATTGGATGGCAAAGTTTGGGGGGGGGGGGGGGGAACGCATGGTTTCAGAGCGCGTCCGCGCGTCTTTTTGCATTACTGATGTTGCCGAGCCAGTTGACGTTGTGAAGACTCATGTTTTGAACTCCTTACGGCGCCTAAGGTTTTTGAAGAGTTCGGCATGCGCGCGCGGCGACGCGCGCGCCCTTCGTACCATCTTTGCAATGGATTGTTGCGATAGCGCGCGCACAAGAGCGCGCGAACGATTTCGACGCGCGCGCGGCAGGCCCGTTTGGCAGCATGTGATGCACATGTAGAGGAGGACAAAACAACTACGGTTTGCTCAAGAATTCGCAAGAGCGCGGGCGCACTTTAAAAAAAAAACAAACAGGTTTTGAAGACCCTTGGTTCAACGCATGTTTTGGGGCGGTCGGCTCTGGAGTTCTTGCAAAACCAAAAGTTGTGGAATGATTTCGGCGCGCGCGCCCGACGACGCGTTCGCGCGCCCTTCGCCCCAATTGCTGCAAGAAGTTGTTGGAAACATATGGTTTTTGATAGACGAACATGCACGCGTAGAAGTATTGGCCAAGGATGCGGGGGGGATCGATGCCGGCCTGCCAAGGTCGGTACGAGATCACATTTAGGATCCGATGTGGCAGAATCGCATTAAAATTGCAATGCGGAAAAGGGGCGCCATTAACACCGAGGCGGGGGAAGTAGATTATCATTTTTGCTTCTTTTCAAAAACTGAAAATATCGGAATTGCCAGCTCCGCTGCTCGCGCAATCGCCCCGCCCATCCGCCCGCGGCAGAATTTGCAAAACCAACGCAGCAGCGATTGCGATGAGCGGCCGGCGTTGGCCGGTGCATCTCTGCGGCCGCGCTAGCCCGCGCATGCTCGCGCGCGCAGCGGCCGGCTAGTCTGGCGCGACCGA